TATTGATAGCACGCTTTATAACCGGTGGTTCTAATGCAGCGACTATTGCTTCATCAAAAACATTTTTCACGCCTTTTTGCGTAAGTGCCGAACACTCGACATATTTAACTGCACCTAATTCTTGTGCGAGTTTTTCGCTTTGCTTCGAGGTTATGGGTTTCATCTTTTCCCGTGCTAGTTTTTCAATCACTATTGGATCTTTCCGCAATTCTATTTTAGTACCGACAATCAGGCATGGAATTCCTGGACAATGATATTGAATTTCGGGGAACCATTTTTTCTTGACATTTTCAAAAGAAGTTGGTGAAGCTACAGAAAAGCAGACCAAGAATACATCTGTTTGAGGATACGATAAAGGACGGAGGCGATCATAATCTTCTTGGCCTATCAAATACATTACCACAATAGCGATTATACAATATATAACATAGCACATAACTAAGAAGTACACAATAAAACCTCTATAAGTACACCTTCTACAAGTACACAATAAAATCTCTATAAGTGCACCTTCTACAAGTACACACCCTCTCTAATACACTCAAATTCAGGTCCAACTACAGAGAACCTCAATAAATGCACCCTGTCAGGACCAAACACTTGACCATGCGCATTTAGAGAACAATAAGAAAAATTGCATTTAGGGTGGCTAAACATATATTTTGGCCAGGGTTTAAAAGTGCATTCAATGCATTTAGGGTTGTTTCTTTTGCATATAGATGATCTTCATAAATGCACTTTTTCTTATTCTCTACGTGCACGTTGCTAAGGTTTGGTCCCAAAGACGTGCACTTATAGAGATTTTACTGTACAATAAGATTTGAACGTTTGCAGATATATTTACCTCTTGTATCAAATAACTTTAAAGTATATGGTTCATCTCCAATCATGACAGTAGCTGCATAATCGTCAAAAACCTATATGAACTCACATTCAATAAGATTATATATCAAATTATTTTTTAATACGATAGCCATTTAAAAAACTTACTGTAGGAACATACTCTGAAGGAAGCATTCCAGTTGTATAACTTATTAGAAGTTCAGTCTATAAAAATAATATTCTCGACAATGAACCATTAATATAGCAATTAAGAAATTAGCTTATAAGAATATTTTTTTACGTACTTTACCAGCTACATAGTCACCGACAACAACACACTTGATTGTTTGCATTGTATAATTAAAGAGATTGGAAGGTTTTTTGTTATAAAATTTAGATAAATGCAAACCTTAATGTGAAATTTATCATATATTTATCACCCAGAGTGCACAGAGTACATAATATTCATGTGTAAGGTGGAAAAACGGTTTATCGAGCTAAATTAAATCTGGCGGTGATATTTATTACGTAATTTCTAACGATCACATGAATGTGTAACATGAAATGTGAGAGGGTTAACTTTTATTGTACGTACGTACGTCCGACATGAATTCCGAACATGCGCGAAAAGGCGTGAAAAATGTTTTTGATGAAGCAATAGTCGCTGCATTAGAACCACCGGTTATAAAGCGTGCTATCAATA